TGCAAGAGCTTCGACTTCTTTCGCGATGAGAGCGGCATCGTCATACATGGTTGCAGGCGGCGTGTCCCTTCCTTGTCCTGGACCGAGTCCTACTGTCGGGAGCTGTAGAGCTTTCATATCATACCCATGTGCCCTGACCCGATCGACAAGAGTGTCATAGAACGGTGCCAGGACGAAAGAACCCGTGACAAAGAGAAAGTATGGTTTCGACATCTTGAACTTAAGTGTGAATGTTGCTTGCCAATGGGGTACATCGTCTTGATTTTCGAAGTCGAAGCTCTATCTAATTTATAGCCGCCATGGGGTTGATTACAGTTATTCAGCTTTGCACTCGATTGTATACGACATCACGTAACCGGAGGTTCAATCGAACCGGCACGGCCCAGAGTGGGTTTCGGGATTCCTGCGCTAAGCATCAATTATCTTTTGCATTTGTAATCTGCTTCCGCTCCCGGTACCAATCCGCTTGGCGCCTTGTCGATTGCGCTTGTTCCTGCGTTGGTTCTGTTTAGCTAACCAATTCTCCAATAGGCGTTCGCAGCCGCTACCTCCAACGGCCATTAGTAAGGTTTCCAAAGACACTCCTGTGAATGCTTAATATCAAGCCATATCCTAGATCACGATGCTTTTGATAAAGCAGCGCAGAAAACGATATTGTTTCAAAGAAATATAATGTACATCGGCTTCGCCAATCTCCGAGATCCGACAATTAATGCAATTGTACACTTACTGAATTAGTAATCCCACGTTATTACCGGAGACTTCTAGCTCTCATGCCGCGTAATAGCACCCCTCAAGATTATCCGTAAGTCATAAACTCTCCAAACCTTCAACTTGACTTTGACATAAATAATTGATTGAAATGAAATATGGACTGTACTACATTATAGGGAGATGTTCCATGTTGAGATTTTCCATTTTACACTGAAACTACAACCTCACAATTCGTGGTGACCGGGTGGACAAGGGGCCGCGAAAGTATTCTTCAGTGCCGGAATGGACGGAGAGAAGAAGTACTCGCCTCCACGGGCAATGACCCATTTTGCGGCGAAATTCAGTTCCTGATTTGCTCCTGCGACATCCGGACTTGTCCCCACCATTTGTCTCGGGTTGCCGACGCCAATAATGGGGTCGATACCGGGCGCCGGCACCGGCGGCGTCGCCTGGGTCTTCGGCGGGAACGTAGGGCTATTCGCCCAGCCTAGGAGTATACTAGTTAGCACCTACTTACGCTTATGAGCGAGGTGTTTACGATTAGCTCGGCTTACTTTGCTGCATGAAATGGAATCCATTTCCAAGATTGCTCTGGTAGCAGGCGAACAGCAGGCCACGCTCCAATTTGTGATCATCGGAGCTCTTCTTCGCCTTTTTCTCTTCTGCCGTCACTTCGGCTCCAAAAGCAATACCACGACGGATGACTACAGTAGCCAGGATCAGCAATTTCCTTTCTAGGTAGTACCCATATGCAATACTGGAATACGCAGAGTCCGCCTATTCCCAGATGCTTGTCGGAGAATAGAAGTCTTATAACCCCAGCTCTTCTGTTGGAAAGAAGGTGGGGGTTTGATGATATTACTTACTTCGTCGAATTTCCGTGCCCCCAGCAGCATCCAAGTCCGAGCGAGGGTTGGTCTTTCGGATGTGCGCGGCAAAGGGACAGCGTTCCTGATTCTGGGGGTCGAAGCGGAAGTCTTCGCGCTTTGCAAATGCTGGGTTGTCGCGCAAAGGTGTCAGATCGACGGGAGCACCTAGACGGCGTCAGTACACTAATTTTCTCGTCGGCTGTTGTTGGTACTACAGATAAGAGTACACTTACCGCTTTTCCATCGTCCAACAAGACGAGCACCGAGAAGTTCAGCCCCTGTAGGATCTCCAGGGGCGGGCGGGAAGGGGACCTTCAGTGCCTTCGCTTCTAGGAAAGCATCGAATTCGGGAACAAGCTGCTTAAGGTAACGGAAGGCGAGGAAACTTCCGTCCAGAGCCCAAGGCGGGCGCGTAACACCCTGTGGGGACTGGCCTGGGACCACGAGGCCGTCATCACCTTCCCGTCCGAGGAGAATTACACCTTGACGAACCGGCTTCTCACCAGGCTCGGATGTAACGCCGGCATCGACATCTTTAACGGCTGGCTGCGAAAGCCCATCATTAAAGCCGAAGCTATGTGTAATAGATATTAGCAGGAGAGTCCTGAATTCTCGGGTGTCGCACTCACTGCTCGTGACCATTCTCAGTACCGGGCCTAGTCTGGCCAAGGAGGCGAGTGACTTCATCAATTGCTGCATCCATCTGGCCAATTCGGAATATCTTCTTGACATGATCGAGTGCTCTTTCGAGAATTATCTTGTTATTGGAAGTAATCGCGATTACACCGTGGATCTCTTTCTTGAAGTCAGCATCCCATTCTGACAAGTCGTCGCCGAGGTTGCCGGCATCCGCCAGCATTCCCTTCTTGAACACGTCATCTCCAATATCGTCGGTGATACCGAGCTGAGTTTCGGATATTACGTTAGCCTCAAATATTTCAGAGCCATCACATCTCTGGACTGTTAACTTACTGCTACTAGGCCCTTCTGCGAGAAGGCGATATTCACACCGCTATTGTCAATCAAAGGGAATTGCTTCTTTTGCTCGGCAGCTTCTTTCTTGCCTTCCTTGATGCTATGGTGGAACTTCTTGGCTTCTGTTGTAGAAGTTACCAAGGGGATGAACAATCTCAGATCTTCACGGAAGGAGGATGCTCGGCCAGCTCTGACACGGAAAAAAAAGAAAAGCTCGTTCTTCTTTCCAAGTCCCTCCCTATTTATCGGCATTAGTCATTGCGAATCATGTGGCTTCAAGCACTTACAAGATGTCACCTTGCACGTTATTGAGATCAAGTGGGGGTGAGCTAGCCATGGTATTTGGATGAGTGGTTGACCGTGGTGTTGTATTCGAAACCTTTCCGACAAATTTGGATTGTTGGTAATATGTGAGGATGAATAGGGCTGATTTATCCCGCTTGTAACTTCCTTTGCTATTCACTGAAGTTACATTAGAAAGCATTCTTCTTTATATATACGATCTCAAGATCATTGTCACGGAGTCGATATGTGCAGGGGAGTGTTCCAGTCCTTGGTCCTTGTCTTCTAAAGTGACTGTAGTAATATCCGGAAGACTCCGGCCAATAGGATATGTCTGCTAAGAGGCTTCGCGTCTTCTAAAGTCCTTGATCAATCTAAAATATCTTATTTTAGCAACATGACGCTATCTCAGCGAGTTACCCAAGCCAGCAGCACATTGGATATTCAAAGAGATCACATGCGTTGATCTGACTGCGTACTAAGTTCAACACTGTATCCAGTAGCATGAAAGCGTTTAGTTTCCATCATCCCTCGCCCATATCAGCCGAGCACAGCTTCAAAGGATGGCTGGGTAATAAGCAACGGAGTGTGGGTGGTGTAACGTGGCGGACACGACTCTCTACGCCGCAGAATGATTGGCTCGTCCGAGCGGCGAGCACATGATTGAAGAAGTTTCTTGGTGTTTAAGAAGACTAATCGGAATATTTGGCCATGATGCATATACTAGTAACTGCCAATGCCAGAGCTTTGTGAGCCAATTATATTGATACGCACATATTCTTGTTACAGCACGAAGATCCCGAAGTTCTTAGTATGCTTGTTCTTACTATACATACGTATCCTCTGGATAAGTTGCAGTATAGTCAGAATGGAGGATATGTCGACATGTCCTTTCGGACCGGGCGGCTTACGACAATGACCATACCGGTGGAAACTAGATTGAGGTCTAGAGCCGCCAACTGAATAGAAAAGTCGGTGGCATGGCCCAAACATACGACTCACAGCTTCGATTGGGATTACTTGCAGTGTGACGACATCCAACGTCAGCGATTTCAAGTGTGATAGGCGGTGTAAGCAATTAGGAGCCATAGCCTCATAAGGCTGAGATCACAGCATAGGACGCGACATGTATGTCCTACCGCCTGTAAGACATGTCCGTAATTGGACCCTGCGTGGTGGTACAGCCGAGCCAGTGAGGTCAGCCGCAAAATATGGCTAGATTTGCCGTATCGGTATGATCCTCACCCAATCATATTGCGTTGAAAGTCAGCAGAAAACCAGCTAATATAGCTCAAGTCAGACAAATTGACGTGCTGATAGAACTCTCCGTACTGCGTAATATCGAGTGCTCCTAGGAAAACACAACGCACGCCTCACTTCCCACAGTAGCCGCAATGGTTGGCGGTCTAGCTATCGCCAAGAGGCTTTAAGGAGGAGAATTAGTAGGTAGAGGTAATGAAAAGGAAAATTTCCTACTTTTGCTTCTTGAAATCCAATTGGAAGTATTGGCGATCAGCTGGGACAATTTGCTTAAGGTCACTGTTTGGTTTGGCAGCCAAGCGTCATGGGGCGAGTTAGGGTGAAGCTCTACATAGTCGGGTACGGTTGTCCTGGGAAGTTAGTTGCTAATTATGCTATTATCCCAGGTTCATCCATTGCAGTCTGCACCATAACGACTCAGTACGACGAACACCGTGTTATACGAAACCACGCACGACAAGTACGCCATGGAAATCAAGTCTCGACAGTCGTACACTAAATTTTCAGCCCTCGTCTCAAATTGCCAACAGTAGGTTACTAGAAGATCTTTCGTGCTTGATGCAAGAATTTCCAAGGCCTAGCTCCGCGCCGTTATGCGCCACATAACGCCAAGCGCATTCCGTCCGAGAAGATCTTTTTGAAGGGCTTACGTAAATCAGTAACGCCAACATCATCGCATGTAGAACAGTTCTTGAAGAATATGCCTCTTTTCACTAATACACTTAGTTCATTGGCGCTTGGCACTCGACATTTCAGACTATTAAACAATGGTAAAACAATACATAGCATTATTATGAGGGAGAATCACACTTATTTTTAGTTGACTTAATATTTGAGATAAATAATATATATCTTTGGTCGTGACATAACTATAACGTAGTAAAAAACATTCAAGAATCTTGAGGACTCCCAGGATCGAACTGAGGCCTTCGCGTACCCTCGGCGGAACCTAACGGCTTTGCGACGTGCACCCACTACACGAAGTCCTCTTTGGGTTAGCACTGGCTTGGCGTCTAAAGTTAAATAAAATACTAAGTGCAGGGCTCCGCAGAGCTTGGCTAGCCTGCGCCTGCTGTGCGACTGCTTTGTTACAGCTGCAGCCATCTGCCGAGTTGCGCAGAGACTACAACAATTATCTAAAACCGCCTTCCACATTGCCGAGATAGCTTCCAGCAAATAATTTACTTACATTATCTAGCCAAGCAAATGTAACCCTTTTTTAAACCTTTCTGTTATGAATCAGCGATTGCCTAGTACTTGCATTCCTTGACCTCACCCAGCTGCTTGATTCAATTACTCTCGGCTTGTGAACTACTTACTATACTCCCAAGGGATGTGGAAAGGTATTTTCTAGTTTCGTCTTCAACATACCAGTACACTACCTAGATTTCTCAATCCCGGCAATAAGGATGATGTCTGTTCCATCCAGCCGAAACTCTTGGGTGATTCTGAGCTAAGAAGAGTTCAACCTATCCTTTCTTGGCTATCACATAGTCTATCCGGCGATATGGAGCACTAGTTTAGCTCCATACATATAATGTAGATCTTGTTACATCGTCAGTCCTTTCATGGACTAAGCGAGAAGAAACTAACTAGGTTAGTTAGCCACCGGCGCTCTGTCCGGTTTATCCGACATCGGTTTGTGGCCTGATTTTAGAGTTTGTGATCTGAACTTGAAGCGCTGCCATCAGGGTGTCATAATACTAGTCAGTAGTTGTAATCGGTGAATTGGAGCTTTTAGTTTAGGCCCGCCCTTTCGACGCTTTGTTACACTGCTCACCACTTATAGCTGTCTCTATGATACGCCCCCGGGCTTCGACCACGCAAACAATATGCACATAATGCTCCTGAACGCGGTGTTTCTTACACCTAGGAAAGTTAGTGTGCACAAGGTTAGTAAACGAGATTTTGAGCGTACAAGGTCTGCGGGAGGTGTAACCCTCATGATTCCGTTATACAGAAATGATAAGTACACAATAGTTGGAGATATGTCGCAGCTCGCCAGCTTGTCTCTATTGTTCGTTGAAAGTGTATTTTCCCACAGATCTTAGTGAGTAGTTACGAACCTGCCCATGTCACAGATCTGCGGTAGGTATAGTCGTCTAACCTGAACATGGGAGAATCGAGTCTAATATCAAACGTCGACAGTAGTGCACTTGGCATATTCATAGTCTACACAGATCATGACTCGAATTATCACTTCTTGTTTTTCTCAGCTACGATTCTCCGCCAGGCTTGTACTAAGGCAAATCACCCCTCTGCGACCCACCCCCTCAACGACCATACCGTTTCCCATACAAATCGCCCATTTTCACCTATTAATAACTAATTAACTA